TATATATATATATGAACATGTGTTATATGTGGACTTTTACAACTTGTAGTCAAGCATCTGCAGTAAATGAAAGAAAAAAAATGTAATTAAGAACTTGATTTATCTGATGATACGTTGCTGTTTCCAGAATATGAGAGAAATAAACCCTTGACACGCACCCTCAGCCTCCATTTTGTAGAATCAGAGCCTTTGTGACAAAATGGCGTCAAACGCCGCCGGTACATAGTTTGATCTTAGTCGATAGAGGGAGGTGGTGTTTTGACAAACTAACCAACGGGCAACTTTCCAAACTGCATTTCTGCCAAATGAAAAACGTTGTTGATAGTCGGGGACTTTCCAGGTCAGTTCAAGACAATAAAACCCAACCCAGAACCTCTGCATTCTGATGCATCAACATTTATTTCATTTTCATTTACAGAATCAAAATCCAGTCCAGTAGCTTTAAACCAGAATTACAATAAACAGAACTGATTCTGATAAGTGGGTACAAAACTATAAACTCAGTCACCATGCTCAGAAAACACAAATAAGGATTAAACATTATGTTTGTAATTGTCACTGGACAATTACAAAGTGGAAAATATAATTGTTCTGTTGAATTTATGGAGGGAAAAAAACTAATTATGAGTTTCAAAAAGCCTTTGTTATCCATAATTATTCAGTTTTATCTTTATAAATAAGCAATAAATGTAATAAAAAGCAGTTTCAGTAAATACAATCAGATTCAAGCTGTTGATAAAATCTTTTATTTGAGACACATCATCCATAAAACAACCTTTGTTCCCTCTGATTATAAATTAACATTTATAGTGGAAGCAGTGACCTGTTGTGTTAAACATTTATTAATGTTTTATTAGATACCGGAATGTGAAATTTAAAAAAAAATCAAATTATAAAGAGAAATCTGTCACAGAAACAAATTAAATTTGATCCACATTTTTCCCTCATAAATAAAACATTTCAACTCTTCATTTCTCATACAAAACTATGTCAATAAAAACAAAACCTGCATCACAGTCATTCAGAACTTTTCTTTCACATCATTTTCAGCTACATTTTCAGCACAGGTGACCCTCAGTGGTTCATAAAGTTGAGCGTCCCTCACTGAACAGCTCCTCTCTCAGTTTATGGTAGCTCCCCTTCAGCTCCATCAGCTGCTGGTGAGTCCCCCGCTCCTTAACTTTCCCTCCACTGATCACAACAATCTGATCTGCCGTCTCGATGGTCTTCAGTCTGTGAGCGATCACCAGGAGAGTCTGATCAGGGCAGCTCGCCAAGGCCTGCTGAATCTGCAGACAGAGCAGAATTTAATCATTCAGTCCTCACCCCTGACCCTCTCTGATAAAGTTAAAAGCCTTAAGTATTTTAAATATTCCTCATTTATCTATGTAATACCTATTTAAAACATAAAGATCTTGAAGCTTTTGAATACATTATCTTTATTAAAGTACCTTGTTTTCACTCTCAGAGTCCAGAGAGCTGGTTATTTCATCCAGAATGAGGACCTTCGGTTGTCTGATCAGAGCTCGAGCGATGCCGATCCTCTGCCTCTCACTTTTAGATAACTGACCACCACTCTCACCCACCTCTGAGAAATTAACATGAAATTAAGACTGAGGGTCACAATGTGAAATTTAAATAACAAACTGATTCATAAAGACACGATGGCCCCTAACCCAGCAAAATATTATATATGCATTATATTTTTCAACACTCCAGTATTGTTTCTGCCTGTTCATCTAATCTTCCTTAAATATACAAAAGCAGGTCTTTATGTGTGCACTCAGCCATGTAAACCAGAAGAAGTTAAACTGGTTTACCTGTATCATAGCCTTTCTTTAATTGTTGAATAAATTCATGGGCGTTGGCTTTACGTGCCGCTTCCTGAATCTCATCCAATGAGCAGCCAGTTAGCCCGTAGGTGATATTATCTCTGACAGAGCCGGAGAAGAGAACCGGCTCCTGGCTCACCACAGCAATCTGGTAAACACACAATCATTCAACTTCATGAAGAACACACTCTTTACGATCTTATGTTTAACTGAAAAAAAAAAAATTTTTAAATGTGATTCTAGTTTTAAAAGAACAAATATTAAATTGATGCAGATTTTCAGGAAATCTTAAAATATTTATTGTGCTTTCTGCTTCATTCACACTATTCACTCTCAATAGTGTTGTATAGATTTAAATCCAATTAAGACAGAAAAATAGCTCTCAAAAATAGCATAATCATAAAAAGCATTAATAAAATAAATACCTTCTTGTGGAAGAAGTGATGATCGTAGGATTTCAGTGGCTCCCCGTCCAGTAAGATTTCTCCATGCTGAGGCTCATATAATCGCTCCAACAGACTCACACAGGTGCTTTTTCCTTCTCCAGATGGACCAACCAGAGCTGTCATCTGACCTGGCTTCAACTCCAAGGAAAAGTCCTGAGAAAAGACAGTTTTATTCTAGAGTATACTTTTATTTAATCCAGGTATATTAAGCTGGAACGGATTAAAATGAACTCCATATTACTAAAAATTACTAGTATTTATTTTCACCTGCAGCACGGTTTTGTCTGGGTTTGAAGGATAGGCGAAGTTAAGACCCTGGTAGCTGATGTGTCCTTTCAGCTGATCCGGTTTGAGATTTCCATCTGTGCTGATCTGAGGTTTTCTGTCCAGATACTCAAACACTTTTCCAGCAGCCATCACTGAGTTCAGCATGTCACCAAAAATATATGTTATTGTCTGAAAAACAAGAGACAGTATGTTTTAAGATACTGTATGTACAACATAGAATGTGTGTTGTGAGATGTGTTACAATATGATATATGTTTATTGCTGGGAACACCTGGCAGAAGAACCTGTGGGACATATCTTCAACTCATCTCCAGGAGAACTTCAACCACATTCCAGCTGGGGGGGGGNCCCCCCCCCAGAGTGTTCCATCATAGCTTGATAGCAGGTAACTGAATAGGTTGAAAAACATGACCCATACAGAATATAATATCTACACAGCACAGGGAGAGACTAAATACAAATTTTATACACTCTTATAAACTCCAATTACAAAACAAAACACATTTAACAGCTAAAAACATGGATTTTGCATGATATTTTCCTTTTAAAACCAAAAATGGTTCACAGATAACAATGGTGACAATAACACACTAGTCACACAAGCTGCAGAGCACGTATTCATTCTGAAGTGCTCCTTCCTCCTAATTCCTTCAGACAGTGAATCATGCGCAGAGGTACAAATCAAACTGAGCTATTCGATGCATTCATTTTCTGATAATATTGATTTGCATGATTGAAGTGAATTTGTGGGTGGAAAAGACACACCCAGCATCACAAATGCAAAGGCTGCTTGTGGTGGAATTTTGGCTCTAAATTGTTGGGAGAAAAAAAAGGACACAATTAAATCAAACAAGCAATCAAACCATGTCAATGATGACAGACAAGGATACAGTTCTCTTTAATGTGGATACGAAACCCAATTAAAATTAAAGCTGCAAGCAGTGTTGGCGGCCCTCGCAGCTTGAGTGCCGCTTTGGCCATGTGGCAACTACGGGAGAGCTTGCATTACCCCAATTTGGCATTCATCTCAGTGTCACAAGCAGTGGTCATTGATGGCACACACAAAGTTTGGTGCAGACTGGATGATTTATTAGTGAGTTATAATTGTTCAACTAKTCTAGGTGGTGCTGTTGAGTCAAACTCCAGTGTATAGGCCTYTTCAGAGGTTGTCACTGATGACACAAAATTTGGTGCAGATTGGATGATGTATCAGTGAGCTATAATTGTTTATCTATTCTAGGTGGCGCTGTTGAGTCAAACTTCAATGTAATCCTATAAGCCTCTTCAGARCTTAACAAAGGTCAAATATTTGCAGTTTGGAGTATATCGGATCATGTATGTGTGATTTACAGCCAAATGTATGCAAACAGTGAGACATCATCATTCGCCACTTGGTCACGCCCACTCTATCCAGTCAACAGTCAGTGTTGAAATAAGCATGCAGCATCAACTAGTTGTATCACCAGACATAGGTAGTGTAAAAGACCAACATCCAGCAGGTAAATAATTCACTTCCATTTTTGAGGGTGCTGGGCTAAGGTGATGTGACCAAATGACATGTGGGTGGGGTGAGTTCTAGTCTGGTCTGACACACAGAAATGATCAGGCAGCTGTGACCTTCTAAGTGGAAGTTATTGAACCTTGATGTTTCATGGGGAATGATCAGTTTCTAAGACTTGGCCACGCCCACATGCATCGCCGCAGCAAAAAATATTGTTTGATATCRTTTGATGTTCAATGCCTTAAGACTGCTGAGTGATTTTGAATTCTGTAACTTAAAACCTGGAGGAGGAGTTCGATTAGATACCTGTACAGGAAAAGAGACAAAATGGCAGCTTGGATCCAAGATGGCTGACATCCTGTGGCGTTTGGACCATGGCTCCAGAGGCTTTTTTGTAGGTCCTTATATATTACACATGTGTGCTTAATTTCGTAACTGTCAGTCAAAGCATGGCTTGGGGATGATTTTTTTAGGTATTGTAGGGGGCGCTATGGAGTAATTAGGCCACGCCCACCAAATGTTACACCACATTCCTGTTGGGGACTGGATAAGGATTGATCACGGGTGATTTGGTACAGCTCGGTTGAAATATGTGGGTTTTGGAGCCAAACGTAATTCATCGGTGTGACACCTGACTTTGCCATGCCGCCACGTCCATGCCTTTTTAGCTAAGAGTCTTGGTCTTTCAAACGAAGTCAGTCCAACTTGTTATCTCTGTTCTGACAAAATTTTGTGTTGATTGGGTCAAGCTGATCAGAGAAGGACCATTCCAAGCAAAAAAAGGTCACTTCCTGTCCTCAGGGGGCGGGGCTACAATGATGTCAGCATATGACCACAAATGACAGGGATGATTCACAGTGAGTTTGGTGTAATTCAGACATTCTATGTGAAAGTTATAACGTTTCAAAAATGTTGGCGTGATGGTCATATTTGAGGCCTGGCCACGCCCCTTTAGCATGCTCAAAAACTCACCATTTTGCTAACTCACGTTAGATGGCGCTGTCGAGTCATTTGGCCATGCTCATTAAAAATTCCCAGAGAATCATGCGATTTTCGCCRGAGGACAATGTTGTGTAAAGTTTGGTGAGTTTTTGAGAATGGCAAAGCCTCCAAATTGGCCATTTTTTTGGGAGAAGAAGGATAATATTAATATATACAGAAACAATAGGCCTTCGCCAGCGATGCTCGCTGGGCTCGGGCCTAATTACAAGCAGTGAGAAAAAGCCCTTGCACCCCAGCCCCTCTTTCACCCCTTTTTTGAGGTGTGTCACAAAGCAGATGATTTGGATATTGTTCCTTAAAAGGCGCACCAAGCCCCACCCCCTTCCGGCTTGATATTTCAGATCAATATTCAAGTTCAAACTGTGTAATCAACAACCCTTGAATAATACCTTTAAAAAGGAAAAATCATGTCACAAAACTTTAATGATTCTTTTTTTCTTTTTTTATAATTTATCACATAACTATTTTAAAAGATTAAAATAGTTATGTCAGCCTGATCTGCATAACAAAGACATTAATTGAAAGTGTATGTGTGTTTGTTTTAATGACAAAGTTTTATTTTTGTAAGAATTTAATGTGTATTGTGACTGCTGTTGTGTTTTATTGACTAACTGGACAGCATTTTGGTCCTATGGTTGCTTAAAGTGATGTATAAATAAAGCTGGTATGGTATGGTATGGTATGGTATGGTATGGTATGGTATGGTATGGTATGGTATGGTATGGTATGGTATGGTATGGTATGTACTTTTTATTGCACAAGTGGCTACAGACTGCTACAATAAAAAGTGTCAGCTGACAGCATTAAAATCCGACCCACCCTGATATTGTCTCCAAGATCTGACTGATAGATGATGAAAGAAACCAGGTTTCCGATGGTCATCTGTCCCATCTGGATAAAAAGTCTGCCATAATACAAAATTAAGACTTGCATCCCCAAACCTGTACACTATGGACATACACAATAAAAGAAAAACTTTAAATAAATTAGATGACATACATTTACAGATTGATATTCTAAAACACAAACAAAAATTTCTCACCCTCCGTGCGAGCAAGTAAATAGCCCTCACAGTGTCCCGGTGGGTTTTCAGACTGTGTGTTTCCATTAATCGTTTATCATAACGATCAGCTTCATGCTTTTCTGTGTTGAAACTTCGAACCACACGAATTCCAAACACAACCTCATTTGCGGCATCATTTGCATGAGCTATTGAGTCCTGCATGGCCTGGGACAACCTCTGAGGAAGAAAAAGAAAAAAGGAAACATAAATTTACTAACAACCCCTTTATATAAACTTTTATTTAAATAATCTTATGCATTTCCTGTATGACAAGAAAAAAATCAAGTATAATGACAATGGACAAATTATTCCTTATTGGGATAGTATTAACTGATGCCCTCAGTGCATGGTTCATGATAATTTATATTAAACTGTTCAACTTCTGAATAGAGAAGTTGGGGTGTCAGTAGTCCCTGTGGTCATTGGAGCACTTGGTGCTGTGACTCACAAATTGGATGAGTGAATCCAACAGATCCCAGGAACAACCTCAAAGATCTCTGTCCAGAAGAGTGTAATCCTCTGAACATGCATTTAACATGTTAATAGTTTCATTGATCTTGATATCACATGATGCAAAAGTGTTTTTTTTTATTTAATCATCTGATTTGGTCTAATGTAGATTCAAAAACTGATTGAATTTTTAAACCATGCATCCAAAAAATATGGGAACAAGTTTCATTTTTGCAATAGAGTGATAGGCTGTACTGGTACATCCCTTGAGCTGATTTTGATGAGTTCTTGTTTACAATAACATTAAAATACAAAGTACATGTGAGTTTGACGGTAAATTGACTGTACTTGTATAGCGCCTTTTTATCCATCCAGGATACTCAAAGCTCTTCACACTACAATCTGTGCCCTCATTTACCCATTCACACAGCACTCTATTAGGTCTCTACAAAGCTAACATGTACAATCAGCTATGGAGACTAATCAGTGCCAATCATATTCACACACCAATGGGACACACATCAGAGGCATTGGGGTGAAGTGTCTTGCCCTAGAACACAACTGAGACAGCTGGACGGGGGGATCGAAACACTGACCTTCTGGTTCCAGGATGACTCCCCTAACCACTCTGCCATAGTCACCCCAGGCCAAATGTAATTCATTTTCTCCAGCTGTTACCTGGTAGTGTTTGTCATAGATGTTCTGTATGAGACCAGTGATGGGTGTCTCCATCAGTACAAGGAAGGTGAGCTTCCATGACAGAGACATCATCAGGGAGATCATGCCAACTGTCTTGATGAAAGTTCTCAGCAACACGTTGACGTTCAAACATACTGTTTCTCCTGTCAGGGTGGTGTCTCTGGACAATCTGGATGTGATTTCACCTGCACAGAAAATCAGAAAATCCTTTCTCATTTTGTCTTTCTGTTTTCTTTCTTTGTGTTGCTTCACAACCTTACCTGTCTTTATGATTTCAAAAAATCCAATTTCCTGTTCAGTCAAAGCCTTAAACAGCATCACTTTGATTCTGCATGTAACTGAGCTGATGGCACAAAGTAAGACACCCCCTCTGCAGCCAGCACTTACTGAACTACACAGTAGATCCAAAGGGGGAAAAAAAACAAGAGTTCGGTCTTAAATACATCAGAGAGGTGATTCTAGAGATAAATTATCGCTTCATACCTTCCCAACGAGTACAGACCCATGAAGAGAAGTGCAGCGAGAAATTCATTCTGTTGGTAATTACTTCCAAGAATGTCAATGACTCTGCCTGTGTAGAATGGGATGAACATCTCACCTGAGAGAAGACACACAAAGGTGAATATTTTTAACATCTGCCAGGGAAAATAAAATACCAGATACACCAGAGTGATGTAGCCTGGCCCTTGCCTTCCTAAACAGCTCTGCTCAATTCTAGTTTCCCTTCACTGCTCCTTTTACGAAGCAAAGTGAAGGACAGGGTCTGTTTTTAACCAGGCTAAGAGTGATGCTACCATTTTGTTTTTAGAGAGAATAGATTTTCATCTGCATCACTTTCCAATTTATACTTGTTTTGTCTGCACTCTAAAAATGAAATGCTGGATTTACTTAACCATGTTATGTGACCTGGTTCCACTTAACTGAACTGAGTAAATTCAAAGCAACATGCTCATATTCTTTGGTTAAAAAACTGGTATATTGCTTTGAATTTACTCAACTCAGTTAAGTGGAACCAGGTCACATAACATGGTTAAGTAAATCCAACATTACATTTTTTACAGTGTGTTTTTAATTGTCTTGCCATGACCTTTAACCTTGGCCTGATAAGTGAGGCCTGTAGAGTCTGAGGTGGAGCTATAACTTCTCTCAGAATTGTACAGTCTGACCTTTTGGGTGGTTGGGATGTCCACTCTTGGGAACATTGTCAGCTGTCTTAAATGTTTTCCACGTGTAAATAATTTTTCTCTCTACAGAATGGTGGGCTCCAATTAGTTTGGAAATTACCTTTGACCCCTTCCAGATGGATGGACAATAATAAGGTCACAGATGATGTCTTCCTTCTTTGAAATTATCACGCGATTTTATATTCTAGAACCCAGAATGACCAATTGTTTTACTGATGCACGAAACCCTAAAAAGCCTGCATCTCTTAACAACAGCAACAACTTCTCTTGTCGTTTTCCAATAATAATTATAACAATTTCTAGTATAATCAATGCATCATCACAGTTCCTTCTGCATGTTTGAAAACATTATTTGCAGTTTACTTACAGATGACAGCCAGAGTCAGAAACACCAGACCTCCCAGCAGCAGGAGGTAATCAGGATAGTGAAGGTAAAGGACTCTCTTGAACAGAACTCTGGATTTCTGTTTCTGCTCTTTACCCTCAGCCTCTTCATCGCTGTCCGGGATGGTGAACTCCCAGAAGAGCGCAGCTCCGAGCGACGCTCCTGCAAACATGAGCCAGCAGCGCACATCCACCACCCGGCTACACTGGCTCTCCTCGAGGGAAAGAGCCCAGTTTCCGCTCTCCAACACGGCTGGAAGCAGACTGTGAGCCGTTGTAAAACGAATCAGCAGCGGTTTGAGGTCTCCCAGGACGAGGAGCGCTGTAACAATAATTACAGACCATCGCAGAGCTGCAAAGACCCACAGACGCGCGAGATGCCCAAACGCGCTGTGAACAACAACAAACCCTGTTGCGTAAAAGAAGAAAAGATCCACAATAACAGATAAAACTAAAGCTAAGGCTTTGTGAAATGTTGTCACAGGGTTTCCAGCCATCTTTCAGCTGCAGTCTTCCAAATACGACCTGCTCTGTTGTGAGAGCATTTTAGTTTCATTCACTTTCAGTTTCATTTTATGGCAAGTTTAGGGGTTTCCCTGAACTCTGGCTGAGAGGATTTATTTATTACTTTCATTATAAAACACAATCAAAGTTGTATGTAACAAACTAATATTTATAGTTAAAATATCCAAATAGTCTTTAAATATTAGAGTAATGGAAATGGATTTAACACAACAAAAATGACGTTATTCTCATGGCCAATACGCACACACAAATAAATGCATGGTGTGTTGTTTTGATTTGTCTATTTCATAAACACATGTTGCTCCAAATATCAATAAGTTTTTATGTCATTCCTTTGACTTTTAACCTATTTTTGGGTTTTGTTTCAATAAAAAGATAGGTCTTTAATTTAGAGGACACATGCTGAGATTACCCAATTAAAATACTTTGTCACAATCATGCTTAGCAATATTCAAATCAAATGAACATCTATGCTATTAAAATTTAATTGACAGTTTGTTAAATGTCCCTTTATTTCAGAAACTATTAATTGTCTAGTGTAAAAATATACACTAAGATGACTTGTAAATGATTCCAGTAAAACAAAATTAATTTTCCACATTTTATTAGAATGAATGTTATTGTCCAAAGTTTACAGCTCACAAGCTGAAGTGAACACAGCCACACTTATAAATCACAAAATGTCACAGATCAAAGAACTTTGGTAAGTCATTTCCCAGGATGACCTTCTCTTCTGTGCTGTGTTCATCTATGGTCACCAGATAGGCCACGCCCCCACTGGAGCCATCACGGTTCATTGCCAAAGAAAGAGCTGAGGAAAAAAAAATAAGAAAAATGGTTTGACAGGTTAGAAAATAGAAATAAAATATAACAGTTTTAAAACAAATCATGATGCAAAAAATATTTAGTTTTATAGTTTACTAATAAAAGCCCACTTACTGTTGACCACAAACTGCTGGCACTCCTCTTTGTTCATTCCTTTGCGATACTCAGCATCAACAAACCCATAAACATAAGAACTGCCTGAACCTCCAACAGCAAACGGCTGCCTGGTCAGGAGGCCTTTCAGGGTCGCAAACACCTGGAGGTCAAAGAGAAAAGAAACAGGTGAAAAAGGCTACATTTATTGTCACTCTTTACAGGCATCTGTACCTTCAGATATTTATTCAGTAAATGTTATCATCAATCTCAACTCAGCAAAAGTAGGGATGATAATACTGCAGTTATGACCATATTTTATCGGTAATACTTGATTTATTCCTCTCTTTATTAAAGTTAACACCATGAGTTGACCAACCTGTCCTCCAGCTCTTCTGTCCCAGCCGGCTACAATAAGATGTGCAGACAGCTCCTCTTTGTATTTATATGAGATGTTCCTGACCAGAGTGGCTGCTGAGCAAACCTGAGGGTCCTCGCCTATTTCAATACTGACAGAAGAAATAATGTTAAATTTTCTGTTACAAATCTTATTTCTGGTCATAATTTCTACATGCAGATGCTCACATACATTATTCCAAAGTGTATTCTGTTATATTGGATAATTAATAAAGTAGAAAAATCAAAGTTTTATAACATCTCTTAAATCTTGTATTCGTACTTTATATAATGTCTAACAAACCTGAACAACTTACGTCTTTTAAATGGTAAGAATCAAACTACAGGTTCAACATAAACAAACAAAAACATATTTACAATCTATTTTTCTCATTAATTTAGACATGACCTTTAGATGCTGTTCATCAGTTGTAGAAACAGTTTAGCTTTTACACTTTTTTATTTGTTCTCTAATTATCTAGTTTCCTCATGAACACTGAACTTTATACTGTTAGGATCAGGATTGCATTTAAATAAAGCAGCTAAAGACCTTCAGAAAGTCTGAAGAACTTTAAAAGGTTCCATGGAAACAAAATATTTAAAAACTGGAGGTGATTTAAAGATTTTGCAGAGTACCATTTCCAAGAAAATATTTTTTTTCAAAGTTCTGATCAAAATAAATTCAGTTTTAGGGTTAACCTGCAGCGCCATTTCTCTCTCATTTGTTTTTTGTATTCTATATTTCACCTGTTGAGAGGAGGGGTACACCTGGGCAGGTCATCCCAGCCAGACAACACAACAATTACACACACACACACACACACGCACACGCACGCACGCACGCGCACACACACACACACTCAACTTTGTTTTTATTATTATGATTATTTAATATAAAAATATTATCATTTTGCTGCAACAGAACAGATGATTTTCTGACTTGTTTGTTTTCAGGTGTGTTTTACCTGTGAACATCCAGCTGGTAGTTGACCATCTCAGCGATGGTCTGAGCATCAGCTGCAGACCCTGACAGAGCACAGTAGATCTTATCATGAAGAGGAGACAGTTTGTTCATCACTCTGTTCACGATGGACTCCCTGCATGGAAGAGTGGGGAGGTGTTGTTTATTTATTGTTGGGGGAGGTTATGTATTAAAAATTAAAACAGGAAGACAATTAGTAAATAATTAGTTAAGTTAGTAAAGTTCTAAAGGAAATCTCAGGATTTTGTCACGTTTAAATCAACCAACTTACCCTGCAGACACTCTGGAGTCAGACCCCAACACGACCCCACCATCATACTCTATGGCGATTATAGTTGTCTAAAAACATTTTGTATAAAAGTGATATTTTTGGCAAATACGCACAAATAAGCAAGCAGAAATATGTTGAGCTGTGAACAATGTTGTAATGAGTTTAAATGGTTTCTTACCCCTGTTTTCACCTCCTCTGACATCCATTGTGGCTCCGATTCTCCCAACATGTTATAACCACACGACCTGAACAGACAGGAGGAGACGAGCTGATCCGGTTCGACCCGGTCCACTTAAAACGGCTTTTAAAGCACTGAACTGCTTATAGAAGGTTTTTATAAAACAGAACAGCGATAGATTCAGACGGACTCCATTTCGTCCTGAGTTAACTTTCAATTTCGGTTTTAAATAGTCCCTCCTCCACAGAGAGCTGAGATCAGACTGTTTCACACTTTTATTTAGCCTATTAAATGTTTAAACAATTAAAGATTATTGAAAGCAAATATTCAGAACTTATTAACAGAAAGGAAGCACATTAAAGTTTTGAAAATAAATTATTATTATTATTATTATTATTATTTTAAATACTAAAAACGTGTAGCCTGTAAAGTGAGATTTGGAATAAAAACCTCATAAACTCAAATGTCTCTTTTATATATGATTTAAAGGAATATTCTGGACATTTTAAAGTGAGATTCTCTGGAAAAGTTATGAGGAATGAAAAATCTTCCAGTTGGTATATTTTTGAAGCAAATTTTAAATAACTCTTTAAACCACTTTATGCAGTTAGTACATTTGCATTTTTTTTAATTTGGCATTGCATGGTTATTTTTGAAGAAATCTTATTAACCCTCTGCACCAAATTCACTTGTAGCTCATTGTTATTGTTGCACAAATAGCTTAACTGCAGGATGTTTTGCACTATTGACAACAGTGTATAAAGCAGTGAGGTTGTTCAAAGAACTACTTCCAACAGTCAATTCAAAAGGTAAAAATCAAACTTTATTTGTATAACAAATTCCATTCACAACGATGTACTTTCCAGCTAGAACAAAAATACAATTTGAAAAGACACAAAACTGCAAATGAACAACAATGTTTACGAAGTGGTAAGAAACGTTTTATCTTTTCTCACAGAACACTATCCCTTAAGGTGCTTTCATCTCATCTCTCAATTCCCACATCAGAAAACAAAAAATGGTTTTATCTAACTTCAGTTGTTTGGAACTTGTGTGTTTCTGGTTTAATTATTTTAAAAATGTGGCTCATGAGTTTGAACTAACCATTTAAATGTTTAAAACAGGTTTTAAAGTGGAATGTCATTCATCGTTGAATCTTGGCAGCTTATCTCCAGGTACAACCACATGCTCCGCCCCTTTTTCTGTGATCACCACCAGGTGAACAACACCTCCACTGACGTTGTCTCTGCCCATAGCCAGAGCCAGAGCTGTGAGGAAGATGAGTAAGAATAATGGGTCAGTTTGATCAAACAGAAACATTATCTTTCTTCAGTTACTGAGATTCTTTCATGCTTGCTAAGTTTTAAAATGTAAAAAGGTGATTGTTTTAATGCATTATAACTTTCCAGAAATGTTAATCAGTGTTGTATAAAGTACCACAAAGTGATACTTGAGTAAAAGTACAATTATCTTACCAAAAAATTACTTTGGTAAAAGTTAAAGTACTCTTTAGGAATATTACTTGAATAAAAGTATTAAAGTATCTGATATTTGTTGTACTTAAGTATTAATAGTCAAAGTATTGATTTAAAATGAGCAGTTAGATTTTCCGTAAGAACATTTATTAGGAGGTGACCTCCCCAAAAACTGCAGAAATGACTGTTGTATTAAAAGAATTGATTTATGTTAAATTTAGGATGCACTAGTCTGTTTCAGTTTATATACATATATCAAGGCTGCACAAAACTTTTCTCCAAAACGAAAATCTGTCTGAGGGCTGCGGCCAAATGTAATAATATAATTCATGAAATACAAATACCTCCTCTACTTTTGAATACAGTATACATTTATACTTCTCATTCAACCACAATTAAATTCACTCTATCTAGGAGGCAAAATTCATATGGATAGAATTTATATTTTACAATAACAAACTGGAATGAAAACAAGCAAAAATTAAGTAAAAGTTATGACTTTCTACTTCTTACCTTTTTTAAAAATATAAGGAGTAGAAAGTACAGATAATTGTGTGAAAATGTAAGAAGTAGAAGTAGGCTGAAAAATAACTACTCAAGTAAAGTACAGATACCCAAAAATTCTACTTAAGTACAGTAAAGATGTATTTGTACTTGTTTACTTTACAACTCTGATATTAATGTAGCCACTCATATTAAACCAAATTTATTAATGTCATGGATTAGCAACTGGGTTATCTCTAAGAGTTAATATTTTAGCTACAATCTGACTTCTTTTCATTAATTTGCATTTAATTTTGGCCAAGATTATTTACTATAACCAATCTGACAAACACATAAATTGTAAAAAAGTTAATTAAAATTTACCATTGGTTGCAAACTGTTGACACTCCTCTCTGGTCATGTTGGGTTTATATTTAGCATCAACATAGCCATAGATGTAGGTGCTTCCTGAGCCTCCAATGGTGACAGGCTGACTGATTAACATCCCACCTAGAGATACGACATAGACCTGGAGAGGGATGGAGAACATATAGTAAGTGATGCAGTTAAACACAAACACCTGGAGGATCATTTCATCATCCACCTGTGGTCCTTTCTTCCTGTCCCAGCCAGCTGTGATGAAGCCGGCCTGCAGCTCCTCTTTGTTTTTATAACACAGCTCTCTGAGAACTGAAGCTGCTGCGACCACCAGAGGAGGACCCTCCATCTGAACGCTGGAACAGATCAAGAAATGCAGAACTTTATGTTCTTTATGTACATGTAATATTATAACATGTTACACATGAATACCTGTGGAAGGACAGGTGGAACTTTGCAGTTTTGGTGACGGCCTGAGCGTCTGCAAGAGAACCAGCCATGCAGCAGAAGATCTGGTCATGAACTTGGATCACCTTGTTGATGGTCTTTGATGATACATATTCTCTAAATAGACACAATGCAGAAAAAATTGTCTTCACAAACTGACAGCTCCATGCACAAATATAGTTGGCAGTTGACAAAGAAACCAATCCAAATCAGATGCTTGATGCTTTAATCTCCATTGACTCGTTCCATATGTCAACCTGTCCTTGAGTCCTAAAACACTGTACTCATATGTAATATTTAATAACAAAATTAGAAATATAATAGAAATTAGATAATCAGAGGTTCAGCACAGGTTGAAACACTGAAGTTAGAGAAGACAGACTGAGATGATTTGGACATATCCAGAGGAGGGACAGTGGGTATATTGGTATAGAAGGATGTTAGAAATGCAGCTGGAAAAACGCAGTTAGAGAGGATGTGGATGCAGTTAGAGTGGACATGGAGGTAGATGGAGGGAGGGCAGAGTGAGATGGAAGAAGACAACTCACTGTGGAGACCGAAGAAGAGAGAACAGCTCAAAAAGAAGACTGATTAAAGTACAGTAGTAAAATGCAGCTGTGCCACATTCAATGATTAGAACTCCATATTATTTATTTGTTATTTTAGGTTTTATGATTAGCGTATTAAAGAAGTCTCTCTCTTTTTTATTAAAATCAAGAAATAATCACAACATCCTTACCCTCCAATTGAAGCTCTGGAATCTGAACCAATCACAACTCCTCCATCAAAGATGGCAGCCAGGATGGTGGTCTGAGGAGGAACATAGGGAAAGATTGATGATTTGTTTTAACCTGGACAACACAACATCACAAGCGCGTTTTACGGATGACGCTTGAAACTATGCATTCTGGGATTTGAAGTTTTAAGATTGATCGTACAATAGTGAAAAAATATGAAATTATTTTTTCAAAATAAATGTGAACAATAAAAAATTCAAAGAACATGTTATTCATTCACTGATAATAACGTCCACTGAATTCCTTTCATTCGGTTACAGGAAATAACTCCGGTGAGTAGCCTACCTGTCACATCTTTACGCACAATCAGTAATTCGGTTTTACTCTTTGTAAACTTCGAAACATAAAAAAAAAATCAGATTTGGAGAGTTTTTAAAGATTTACTTACCCCTGTGCTGACTCCTTTAACTTTCGAGTCCGTGAAGTGTTTCTCCATTTTCCTTCTTTCTGAAATCGAAAGAAAACCAGACTCCGTGTCTCAGAACAGCGACCTCACAGGCGCTCCGAGGCGCGCAGAGACGCGGAGACGCAGTGGACACGTCCACCATGGCGCTGTCAAATGTCCTGGAAACTCCGGCTGCTGGATTTAATTTTGACAACGCAGCAAGGTATGAACTTGTTTTATGTCTGTTGAAATAATTTCAATAAATGAAACAGTTAGATAAAGTGTGGTTGAACTGGAATCAAAAACGAAAGTAACTTTTTGTCTCAGTCTATTGTTGTATCGAATGAACGATGGGATTATCATGGCTGTAATAAATGTTTTTGAGGACATATGCCAGCCCATACTCACCAGCTATCCCCCCTTCATCCCCCATCTCTCCAGGAACGCGGCATTAGAGGGTCTTTTTGACGGAGGACAAACACCCAAACCCCTGAAAACAGGCACCACTATAGCAGGACTGGTGTTCAAGGTGGGTTTTTAAATAGGTTAATTAAGAACAAGCAGTTTGACTTTCCTATCAGTTAGCTTGCATACATTTTATAAAATATACGTTTTTTTCACACAGAACTTAAAAGATCAGAGTAGCCTATTTTATGCATGGTGCAGTTGTTTACACATATTCTCCATAAAGGTGGCATCATGCCCACAGCTGCAGTAAATGGGCTAAAACATGCAGATGTGGTCCACTGTTGTGGAAGCATTGTACATGTTATAAATGAAACAACACAATAAATGCATTCATGTGTTTGCACACATTTTCACAAAGAAGCTGAACATTATGGTCAACCGCAGCTCCAGTGGATCCAATGAGATTTTAGCACCCAGGTGAATCTAAATTATATATGAGACTAAAACTGTCATCTGTAATATCACACTAAAGAGTAATTAGTGTTTGTTGCTTTAGGATGGAGTGGTGCTGGGAGCCGACACAAGAGCCACCTCAAGTGAAGTTGTTGCTGACAAGATGTGCGCCAAGATTCATTACATTTCTCCTAATATATAGTAAGATTCACATGTTCTATATGGAAATGATAAAAAGAAAATGACGTTACTGACACAGACACATTGTTTTTTAGTTATGGCTTTTTATTTGCTTTATTGTTTAGTTATTTTTGCTTCACAACACATTTTATCACTACAGCAGGCTTACTTAGATTTAGTTCATATTCAACACAAACTGTCTTTCATTGACATTTTAGAGCCTTAGTGTGTGTCACATGAAACAGTTTTTGTTATAAAAATTATGTTTTTATTTGGAACAGAAAAATGGGCTGTAGATACTGTATAAACATACACAGTATAGTGCTCAGTACATAATGTAATCTCTGATTTAGGTCCATTGTTGCTACTGAAGGGGAAAAATACATTCATGTTGTCACTGAAGCAAAAATAAAAAGATGTAATTGCTTTAAAATTTCTTCTCTTGCATTTTAATCTTTCTGTGTTTTCAGTTGTTGTGGAGCAGGAACAGCAGCAGACACAAAGAAAACCACAGAGATACTTTCATCCAACCTCACCATTTTCTCAATGAACAGTGGGAGAAACCCTCGTGTTGTGATGGCTGTAAACATTCTGCAGGACATGCTGTACAGGTCAGTGTCCATGAGTTCAGATGTCTGACAGGTGCACAGTATAAATGAGTTAAAACTAGGTATGATTTTCAACTGTGAACATGTTTGTTTAAACTTGTGTTTGTTTTGATGTCTTCAGGTATCACGGTCAGATTGGTGCCAGTCTGATCCTGGGGGGAGTGGACTGTACTGGGAGTCACCTGTACACAGTGGAGCCGTACGGAGATGTAGATAAGGTGCCATACCTGGCATTGGGTATGCAAATAACTTTAATAACATTATTAAGACCCTTGTTTTTTTTCTCAGTACCTTTGCTGGGAGTTACTGAATTGTTCTTGTTATTTTGTTGTAGAGTAGATTAAAATGTCTTTTAAATAAAAATGTTAGTGATAATGTTATTTAAATCCATCTCAGATTACACTCAAGCCATATTTTAGATTACTGCTTTGTGTTCATGCAGGTTCTGGTGATCTGGCTGCTCTTGGGATTTTAGAGGACGGCTTCAAACATGATCTTGAGGTAAACATCATGAGATAAATATTTCTACACATATAATAAAATGAGTTGGTATTTTAAACTATTGTAATATATTTGTACTCAGTCTTGTAACAGAAGCATGTAAAACATTTTGTTTACATTAGTTTATTGTTTTTATTTTGTCTGCTTTGACCTTCTCTGTCTGTTTTTCTCTCCACTCTCAGCTGGAGGAAGCTAAAGAGTTGGTTCGAGCTTCGATCCACGCCGGCATCATGAGTGACCTCGGCTCAGGAAACAACATCGACATCTGTGTCATCACCAAACAGGGAGTGGACTACATCAGACCCTACCAGGAGTCAGAATACAAAGATGAAAGGTATAGTTTCTGTGTAAATCTGCTTTGAACAGACTAGAAATAACAATTTTAATAACTTTCTACATTAAAAAATATTTCAGATTTTTAAAAAGTAAATATTTAACTTCTTTAGCTTGTTTATGCAAAGATAATTTCAATATTCATCTTTATATAATCAGATAATATTCATTGATGTTGGCTGCAGCTTATTGTAAATTACGAAAATGGAAACTGTTTAAATTAATTGAGCACAAAGTTCAAGTTTGACAGTATATTTTTGTATGAAATAATTAACTAAAAGGACCTGTAGTTTCATGTTACTTTAATCAAAGCACATTTTTAATATTTAGCTTTTGATGCAGTATTTTACATCAAAATCACAGCTTGATCACTAATCCAAAAATCAAGTTCATCAGATCCTGTCATCAGAAAAAAATTAGTTTGAATTAAAACATTTCCAGCATTGGAGACCAGTACTGTAACTATTCAAATATGACACAAGCAATACATTTTCATATAGAACACCTTTTACTTTATTCCAATAAATTCTGATTTTGGGACAAATTATTTTAAAATGCAACCACCAGTAAAACAAGCCTGAGAAGTTCAGTCAATTAATTACGTATTTATATAAAATGCAGGCATTAACTTTTGTTCTCTGTTTCTTTCAGGAAAATGAAATATAAATATCGTCCAGGAACTACAGCAGTTCTGACAGAGAAAGTTGTTCCCTTGAAATTGGAAGTTGTTCAGGAAACGGTGCAAAGGATGGAGACAGCCTGATATATACGTAATACATAAATACAAAACACCAAAATCCTTGTCAGACATTATTTTATTAACAATCTTAAATTTTTGATATCATCTTTACTGGAATGTAGAAAATTCAAAGACTGTTATCCTGCAGGGGTTATCCATGATCACAAACACTGAATAAAATATTTTACAGACTTTTATCACCTGTTTTATGTCCTTTCTTTTGATACTTTCACTGCTATGTGTTAACTTCAAACAGCTTCTGCTCTTATAATAGAACAGTAGCCTATAATATGTATTAGTTTAATTTCAAATTGCATTATTATCATGTCATATGTCCAGTTTAATAATAATCTGTTTTATGTTGAGTTCTTAACCTGATTTCTGCATTTCCTCTTAGAGACAGATGATGACAAAATAAAACGTTTGTATTGGTCCAAAAGGATCTGACGCGTCTATTTATAAAAACTTACCTTTAAGTTGAATGTTTTTTATTCTACCGTTTTATTTAAAAAATAATGCAGAATGGTGGAGTTATTGGTTATATTTCGGCATCCTTTTACGGTTTTGATATATTTTACGGAGAAAAATCAAACAATAAAGATGTGAACAAACTTTCACTTTCGGATTCTTTGTCACGTATCAGGAAATTACCTCAGCCTGTCGCTGTTGTTTCAGAAACATTTAACACCTGTATATTTTAGAATATTATATAGTTTTTCTAATATTAGAATTAGAATGGCACTTTCAGAAGTTATCGGAGTCAAACCTTTTTCTGAAACCAGTGGAAACATTTTTGGATCAAAACGTCTTTTCGACCGACCGAACCACTACAGTTTTGGAACCAAAATTCAAGAATTTGCTGTTCCTCTTGGTGAAGAAGTGAGTATCAGCTCAGCATGATAAACAAAATGATATAATGTTGTACTGAACTCTGATATTCTGACTGAATACTGAGACTGGAGCGTCGGACAGATCATGTTTCATGTTTTACGCGTCGCTAATGCGTTTGTGCGTCTTATGATATAATTATTAAAATCTGACACTGTTGTCAAATTATAGCCTGTTAGATCGCCATGATACTATTATTTTCACCAACACATGGAGTGCAGTTAAACATTATGGATTCAGTTCTTGGTTTAATTTCAGCCCTCAGGCTTTCTGAAGTCCTGTTCCCAGGATGGAGGTGTGCGCATCGACCTGAACCACGGAACCACCACCCTGGCCTTCAAGTTCAAGCATGGAGTCATCGTGGCTGTGGACTCCAGAGCTTCAGCTGGACGTTACTTAGGTAAATATATTATGGTCTGGCTTAGGGATGTTCAGTGAATACGTAAAGATATAAAACGAAATGGAATAAAACGAAACTTAAACTCAACACATAATGCACAGCAATATTATGTTAATTTAATACTCAATCTGGGACATTGTAAAAAATATTTAGTGTTTTATTAAAAAAATCAACTGAACTTCATCAGTAAAACAGTACATCTATTCTAAACATTGAAATTCAAACTATAAAACTGTTCAAAAATTTTTGTTTACAACTATAAGAGTCACAGCTTATGTGTGTTCTAATTGAGCAATGTGTGTTTTTAATTTTTGGTGGTGTCCACATGACTTTTATATTTAATTGTGGAAGCAGCTTTGTTTGGCATAGAGAAATTTCCCCTTGGGGACAATCCATCCATCCATCCATCCATCCATCCATCCATCCATCCATCCATCCATCCATCCATCCATCCATCCATCCATCC